GGAGGGAGGGGCTACTATATTTGGGCAAAGATGGCCGCTCCCAGACTCCGTGATCGCGCAAAAAACTTTTATTTTTTTTTTTTTTTTTTTTTTTTTACTGATTAACGCTAAATTCATTAAATCAGAAGAGAAAGGTTACAGGTTCCTTTCTTTATGCTCCAACACTCATAATTACAACAGAAAACAGCAGTGAGTAAATAAAGCATGAAGCAAATTGAATTATTATATTAAATGAAACATAAATATTCCATAATGAGGAACTCTTTCGTCTCTGTGTTTAAAATAAAGATGGATTTTTAGGTCAGGATGATGCTGCTGTAAAAATATACTGATTTAACGGCATTATTTCCTTTCTTTGGGTACGGATCTGTTTTGATGTTAGAATGATTCAGCAAACCAACATTTCAATCCCTGAAAGGAGGGTTTGTAGGCAGACTAACTGCTGGCGGAGCTAGTTAGTCATTTTGGTCACAGCAGTTTCCTGAAATTACTTTTTGTCTCCTTGAAACAAACAAAAGAAGAAACAGAGAAGTGAACAGCAATATTTACATGAACTGCCTGAACCGAAATTCAAGCAACAAAAAACAGCAGGTGAAACTTACTTTGATCATGTTTGTTTGCTCGTTTGTAGAAAATGGAGAGGAAAGAATTAAAAATCAATTTAAACGGAGTTCTGCAAAATGGTGAATTTGCATGTGAGGGGTTTAGTTACGCTTCATTTCTTCTGCAGGGAGCAGATGCCTGAGCGGCGCTGAGCGAGAATTTTACTTTATCACAAAACCTTTTTCATGTTCCTGGGGTTTTATCCATGGTGTCTCTAGTGTTTCTGACATACAGCCCTCTTTAGCTGCCTCTGAAATGTGGATGGAGTGGGCCTGCAGGACGGTTTTTAAAAAGCTTCCTGTAGTTCAGCACAAACAGCGAGCTGACAACACCAGCACACGGCGAGGCTCTTCATGGCATTTGAGAGCGACAGCAATTTCTTTCCAGGAGTTTTTCTACAATCTGTTGATATCGGTGATATACATGTGCAGGAGCTGCTGTTTGCTCACCAGGTTTTCTGTATGGGAATGTCTGTCCGCTTACTTACAGTGTGGAAAATCTGTCTGCATGGAGGAGCATGGAAGCCCAAAATGACGGGTGATGCGTCGAGCATAAACCAAGCTTAAGTCAGGCTTTTATCACCCGAAGAACATCTCCAGGATTAAAGAACTAACGTCCATTAGGATCTAGAAAAGCTCCTTCATGCATTTATCTTTAGTAGAATCAATAGCTGCAACAGTGTCTTTACAGGTTTGCCCAAAAAGTCCATCAGAAAGCTGCAGCTGATCCAAAACGCTGCTTCCAGTGTTCTCACTAGAGCTAAGAAAGTAGAGCACATCAGCCCGGTTCTGAAGTCCTTACACATCTAAAGCCCTTTCAATTGTCTTTTTACTGAATTGTGAAATGCGTGAATGGTGCTCTATCCTTTTTGTCTCTGTTTTTCAAATATTTTCAATGGTTTTATTTATTCAGGAAAGAAATAGAAAAAAATTCATAATAGTTTTTAGCAAGGTATAAAAAAAACATCCTGAAACTCTCTAGCGTGCCAAAACTGATTTACTAACCGGGCGCAAATCAAATTGGCGAGTCTAAAATTAGGAGATTAACAGGCGCAACGTTTTAGCGTCGATGCTTTCATAAATATGCAGAACGTGCTGATGAGCAAAACATGTAAAATAACGGGAGGAGGACCAGTTTTTGTCATCTTTGTTTAGTCAGGTACAAACTTCGTGCCCCACAGTTTCTACGGTCAGTGTGGTGAGAAGGTGCAACAACGGATGTTGCTAAAGTGAGTCTGTGCGAAGATAAACACATTTAGACTGTTAGAAATAAGGGTATTAAAATTATTTTAATGGAAAAAAATATGTCTGAGTAGGAATGATTAATGCAGCTGGAAGCAAACAATCTAAAAATGAAAGCAAACAGTATGAGTAAATGTAAATATCGTGGCATGTTTATAAAAAAATAAATAAATATTAGAAGCCATTAGAGAACAAGAAACCACTGAGGAGCCTGTAATGAGAAATTAAAGAATCCGAAAAACAAATACAACAGAACAGTCTCTATTCTATCAGTCCAGCTTTTATGGTACATTCAATCTCTTAACTTTAGCTTTAATGTTTTGCATCTTTTGGATTTTATTTTCTGTTTGTTTCAAGCTTTTTTTGAACATATTATTCTCATTTAATTCCTGTTGAAATAAATACCTTTAAATCTGCAGCCTTTAACTTTCTCTTTCCTTTACAGCTTCCCTCATTAAGAAAGAGTGTGCATCGGCTGATCTTGCTAACTCTACACACAATCCCTGTAAATCACATCATGTTTACTAACTGAACAAAACAATCTTTTTCTTTTTGCACAATTCATTTAGCAAACCTTATTGAATCATTCCATGGGTCTGTTGTTTGCTGACACCGACCAGGACGATTATAACACTGTGCTGAATTCATTTAATCTTTGTTTTAAAGCATTAATGTAACCTTGTTTTACAGCGACTGCTCTTTCATTCAGTGACTTGATGTTGGAGCTGCTCCCATCATAAAAACAGAAGAGCAAGGATCGAAAACAATATACCAAAATCAGCAAAAAACACACAGAAAAAAAAGTAAACTGAGCTCAAAAGATCGGATGAGTGAAAAAAAAAAAGAGGCATTGTTTCTACGTTAAATTCAAAGCCTTTGGTTTTATCATCAATTACTCAACAATCCTTTATGAAACTTTCTAAGGATTTCTTTGGAACAAATTCAATCACATTTGGAGTAATTCCTAAATTCAGATTTTTTCCAGTTTGGATTTTAGGCGTACTTGTGCGTCTAAACACGTCGAAGCGTTTTCAGTTCGGTTCCAGACCAGGGTTCCTACAGCATAAGGAAAGTTAAATTCAAGACTTTTTAAGACTTTTTAATGCCACTTGAAATAAAAATTTAAGACCAAATTCACAAGAAACACAAGAAAAACCTGCTTGCGACAACTTAACCCAAAGGTTTATTTTAACATAAACCACTCCTCTAATGTTTCAGATGTTGAATAGCTTCCCATACAGGAAGAAAGCTAAAAACACACAAATGACAGATATATT